TGTGTCAAAATCTGTTGGGCACTTTTTAGAGATGAAACATCTATATAGTCCAGTAAATATAACCTCTATAATTACTGATTTATTTAATACATTTTGCACAAAGAATCATAAATTTCTGTCTTCATGCGTATCTGTAAAGTGTTAACTACGTCCTATAGCTCAATGTGTATGTTTTAACAGAAACGCATTGTCCTTACTCTTAATCATTCCAGTTTTTAGTGTATACAATGGTAAAGTGAGTGTCCACTGTCTCTTACAGCTTGTGGTTTGCATGTGACAACAGATAAGTAGTTCAGTATGTTTTCGCAGGTACCACCACAGAAGATGACGAGGAAGGGAAAGGTTATATTGAGGATGAAAGCAGTGGTGCCAACTCAAGTAGCACAGACAGAAATTCATTTTCAGAACGTGAAATAAAGCCTGTGTTGAGCTCAGAAAAGAGTGGCTCAAATAATATCTTAGATACAAAAGTTAAAATAGGTAAAGATATAGGATTAATGAGTGGAAGAGGTAGTAGCATTCCAATTGTTACATCTGGTGGAACATCAAGTGTCTCTTCAGTGAAGTCATTGGCTGCAAATTCTTTGCTTGAAGCTCACCGTAAAGCATTCAAAGCTGCGGGAGGCAAGGCTGGATGTGGAGGTGGATCATCAAGTTTGCGTATTCGTATTTGTAAATCTCCTAATAATATCAATTCCAGCATTTCTGGTAGCACCATGAGCAGCACTAGTAATGGGCGCCAGTTGGAGACAGACAGTTCCAATGAATATGAGTCTGAAACTGGTATACCAAAATCACCTACGCTCTTTATTAGTGGTGTTTCTATCAGTCGTACACCTGAACCAAGGTCACCTGCAATTGTAACAACAAACTCTTTTGTAGGTCGTCAGTCCCGCTCATCCAGTCTCACTGTTCCGCCACCCCCACCTTTAGCACCTCCACTGTCCAACACTATCCTTGGATCATCAAGCATGTCCCTTAACACTACCACCACAACTATTAATTCAGCATACCCAGAACCTCAACCTGCACTGGTGATGAAATCATCCAGTCCTGTGAACTTTACTTCAGCTTGTACAACTCTAACAAGTAACACTGTGGTCATTACTCCTCCACCTCTGCCACCCCTCCTTCCTTCACCAGGCTCCCCTGTAAACATTTCTGGTCCTAATTCAGGTGCTCCATCTCCGATTTTAACATCGGGGAATGGAAGCTCTATAGGTATCTTATCAAGTACCACTCAGACTTCTAGTAACACTACAATGAATGCAACAAAATCTTTTTTTTGTTTCGGTTTCCAAAATCATCAACTGACGGTGCATTAAGCTCAGTGCTCCATGTTCAAGAATCCAATCTAAGTTCAGACGATTTTCACGAAGCCTTGTTCCTTCTTGAGCGCTCGCCAAAAGGTGGCAGTGGTTCCTCCAAGCGGCGGAAGAAGTCGAAGAAAGAACGTCACAAGGATAAGGAAAACAGCAGTGGTACAGGAAGTTGTTCGAGTAAAGTGAAGGAAATGAAAGAAGCCAGCTCTGCCTTATAAGGTAAGAGGATGTATCATGTTCAGTTGCTTGACGGAACCAAGTTGCTGAGACGAGATGAGGAGAGTGTATGTTTTCATGTGTTTGCTAGCTGCATCAAAACATCATGTGGAGTTAGATAATTAGATAACATAAATCAGTGCATTTCAGAACTTTGTCTTTCCTAGTCTTGGTAACCAAGTGAAAAATATTTTAGAACTTGTGGAAAAGGAGCCCTATTCTTAAGGTCTGTGGAGCAAGTCGTTTGCATCCTCTGGCTCTGCTGGTGCAATGGATCTGATAGAATAGGGTTTTCACATTACGTTTACAACATTCAGGTACAAAAATGCATTGCCCTGTTTTTGGTTCCTGATATTGCAATTCATATGTTTCTTCATATAAGGAAAATTTGTTGGTTTAGGATGTTTGAGATTTCCATTAGCACTACAGTAAATCATTTCACACATAAAGAAAGAAACAAAACTTCCACAATTTCTGTGATATATAAACTACTTCCCTTCCACACATCTTTCCTAACTTTGAAAAATTATAATTTTTTCTAATTTGAATTTGATGGACTATGGAGATAAATTAATAAAGTATTGCATTAAATGGATATTCTCCTGTTAATAATCAGTAAATGTGCAAATGTATGACCCTCATGAGTTTTCTTGGGATAATTGTTTTTGTCTGATATTACCAATAGGAATTTGGGATAGTAAAGAAGTCAGTTAATCACTTAAATGTGGAAGCAGTGTTAGTATCTGGAATGTACAGACTATAGTAATGAGTAAAGTCTACTGCCATATGCTGCACCCCAAAACACGCGTTACTTCACAACTCATCGTCTGTGAAGTGTATACTGAAATTTAAGAAACAAATGGGGGTTACAGATTATTATAATGTGCTTGTAGAAAATTATATCAGCCAAATTATTGAATACTGTATTAACTGTTTCCATGTTAAAGTTTGGTAAACCAGCTGTATGCACCGCATACTGGCGGAAATAGACTGACCTCTTGTAAATATGGTTTTGTTCACAGTGGTTAGTTACAAGAAAGAGTGAAAAACATCAAAGAGCAATCCTTCCTTGTTATTATGATATTTGACAGGTTGCATACATGCATAGTATTGCAATATATAAAATAGATATTAAAATAAATGCAAGTACTTAACCCAGTGTGGACATTGCATGTTGCTTAAATATATGTTAGAGTTTACATTGAAACAGTTAATACTGTCACACACTGCCGCAGTCTGACACGTTGTGTTGGTCAGGGTTTGGAAGTCTGATAAGCGTAACTTGGGTATAGGGTCTGTTATAATTGCTCTATACTGTGATACTACATTAATATGCAGCCATTTTGAAATTTCAATTTTAAATCGCAGGACGCGAAAAAAAACTTCTCATTACCTACTTATAGCAATTTGGCTGCATTTTCCATGTTAATTCTTTCATTCATAAATGTTAACTGTTAGTAACATCACTCAATATTCATCTTGGGTGTTGTAGTATGTTACATTTAGTCTTGTTTTTTAGTAACAGTGCATAAACAATATAAATTGATGAGTTAATAACTTAGAAGAATGTCTCTGACTATCGTAAAGCATAAATGACAGAAGTCACTACATTTTATAAAATCTTTAATCATTTTATTTTTTATATATGGAATCTGTCTCAAAAATGTGGGTGTTGTACAGAAAATTCTACAGTAATGTGATATAACACATGACTTCCGTATGTCTGTTATAGTTTTATTTCTTAGTTATCACGAATATACCATTGTTTCTAAGGTTTACACATTTATTAATTTTCATAGGCAGCCATTGTGTGTTTAGCCATTCACATTTGGTGACATATATTAAAATACTTGCCTAGTTATCTTTGACTTTATATTTATGGATGTTAAATCAAGATTTGAGTTCAAATTTTCTTTACTTAATACATTTGTAGTATATGTTTCAAGCAAGCCTATGTTATTTTAAAGGCAATTAAGCCCGTTTTGGTTGTTTAGTAAACTGAAAAATATTTTCTCTGAAACGTCGGTAAACTTCTACCAAACTACAAGGCCCCACAACCCAGGAGACAGTCATCTTCATACTTGCTGCCATGAGAACCTTACATCTCACAAGATGGTAAAATTATTTAAGGGCTCCAAAGTTTTGTATCAACACAAAGAAATAATGGCAAAAGCATATTTAGGAGTTTCTTTATCTATTTGTCCATTGTCTGAATTGGGAATCTTTAGAGTCTGAATGTTTATATTGGTATGAAATTCATGTTAATTATTAGTTTAATAAACTGCCAACTTTTGGTGAGTTTAATATTAATAATTTATTATTCCCATAATTGCAGTATTTATAACTTAATCATTTTATATCCCAATAGTTGCTTAATTATTCAAATTTAATGTCTGTACAACATTCCATTCACATCATTAATTGTAACATATGTGTAAGTGAAAAATCCATAAATTCATTAATGCATTTATTTTAGACATTAATTCAGTACAACAAACACCATGTAAAGAAGGTGGAAGAAGCGCAGACAGACCGTAGTACCAACATAACAATCTAATATTCCACATCATCAGTAATTCATTATTTTATTATGAAATATTAGAATGTACTGACATAACAAAAGTAACTGTTGCGTTAGTAACAACTTTACCCCCGAGAAGAACCCCGTTACCCACTGGATAGGAGGCTGTCTGGGCCCCAGAGGTAGTCTGGTTGCAGAAGCTCCTCTGCTCCTGTTGGGGATCAAACCCAAGTCATCCAGCCTAGAGAAGAACCCCGTTACCCACTGGATAGGAGGCTGTCTGGGCCCCAGAGGTAGTCTGGTTGCAGAAGCTCCTCTGCTCCTGTTGGGGATCAAACCCAAGTCATCCAGCCTATAGCTAGTCATTGTACTGACTGAGCTATCCCGGCTCCCAGCAGTAAGTGTTATTTGTTATATACTGACTCTGTGTGATGCTTACATACAGTCCAGCTGACCATGTATTAGCATACCACTACCCTGGAAAGTCCAGCCAGCCAGCAGCCCCGTAATACAGGAGTTTCGTCCCCTTTTCCTATACAGTAAAGAGTAAGGTATTGAACTTTCATCAATGTTGATAATAATATTTTGATATATCAGATAACATTAATGACTCTTAAAAATTTAATTGTCCCTAATTTGGATACAAATACAAAAAAAAAAAAAATTTGGAGTTAAGAGTATGTAAGAAAGTAAACTTATATTAGATTCCATTTGTGCAGCATTCTTCTTAATGTTTTAGTACTGAAGTGTGAGATTTGACTTCTGACACATATGCTTTATTAGTCATTCCTTCATTCTTTGATGCTGGAACATGATGCACTTATTTTCTCACATACTTTATCACACATTACAAAAACATATTTTGCAATAAGTGTGAGAGAAAGCAAACTACATGGGAGTGAAGAACATTCTCACAAGTTTTTCAACTACTACTACTATTTGTTATAAATTGATAGTGTGGTAGATATTTTTCCATACACCCAAATAAAGTTCTAACATCATTTCTTCATGTTTAAAGAAACATTATCAACATAGAAATAATCTAACTTCTATTTTTTAAATGCCAAACTCATCATCTCATTAGGTCACTGGTGTAATGTTTTCATCACGAAAGGGGCCAGACAAAACACAAATGATATTCAAATGCATAATATGCCCTATTCCTTTCTTTTCAGTGTATATATTTATTTATTTATTTTATATATTTGCATTATTTTAATTTGTATGCTTTTGTTTGCCACGATTTTTTCTATCTACATTGATAGTTGGATGTAACTCTTTCTTAGGGACTATGTAATAAGAAGAATATTTACTGCATTCTGTAATTTTTATGCAGGCAAATGGCCTATTATTTCATAATAGATTCAGATTGAAAATTATGAGGATTGCACAAATATAAAACAGTATGTACAATATTCTAAAGTTTTGACTTTGAGATTTATACATCATCTAACATGTTTTAAAATATTCTAGTCTATAAATAAGGAATCCATGAGACAAATTGCAGTTTGAGTATAATGTGTTGCTGTTCTAACACGTTATTACTTTAAGGGTCATGTCTGTTAAAATCAGTTGTTTATAGTATTGCTGATGTTGTATCATGCCTCGTGCTTTTGGTACATGTTACTGGTACAAAGTGGGCCTTCCACTGTATAAGTTGTGCAAGTCAGTCATTTATAGGTAAATCAAAATCTACTTATGAAATGGTTATAATGGCAGGTCGTACTGTTCGTGTTATGTTTGTGATTCTTACATAGAAAAGTTGAGTAAGAATTGTTCATGTTATTTCATGATTTTGAATTCTGTGCCAATATTAAGAATTAAATGTGACTTGGTTTGTTCCAAGCCTTAATAAATTCATGGTGTCTGAGAACATGGTACTAAGGAGATTATTTTGATCAAAAAGGGAGGTAGTAACAGGACAATGGCAAAAATTGCACAATGAGAAGCTTCATAACTTTGCTCTTTACCAAATATTATAAGGGTACAAAATTATAGTCGTGAAATGTGAAGGGAAGAAACCACTTAAGAGACCAAGGCATTGATGACAGAACACTATTAGGCTGAATCTTAAGGAACAGGATGTGATGGTGTAGACTGGATTTGTCTGGCTCAGCATAGGATTAAGTGATGGGCTGTTATGAACATTACAATGAAATTTTGGGTTCTGTGAAAAATGTGCAATTTTTTAACCATTTGAGCAGTTGATTAGCCTCTTCTCTATGGAATTAGTTTAGTTATTTGCCATTTTGTGGCAGAAAGCATTTATGTTTTCTGTTTTAGAGTTTGTATCTATAATTACATTATTCAGTACATTATAAATTAAGTCAAACTTTTTTAGATTGAGGTTGTACCTGCATAGTTGTCATAAAATGAAATTCAGCACACAGGTTTAGTTCTTCATGTTTTGCTTCGTGAAAGAAGAAATTTAACAACATGGAAGTTGTAAGGCATTGATTTCTTGTATGTCTTATTGATAACCGAAAGCAGTATATATTATTTTTTGTACAGATTCCTCTTTGTTTCTAGCAGACAACCTTTAAATAGATGTATGTTGTTCAGTACAAATGTTGTTACTGTTTGGAATTAGGAGCTTGATATGAAATGGATTATCAGGTTGTTAGAAACTGTAATAAATAATGTAAATGGTTTTATTTAAGACTTGGCTTGTTTTTCAAGACTGAGAATACTGTTATTCTGTTTTGAAAAGGCAACTTTTCAACATTCGTATCTTTAAGTTAAAAATTTACAATTAAATACATTTTAAAACAGACTTTCATAACTGTACTTTGGAGGGCTCTACCAAAACATTTGTTTATACTACAATATCAACTGCAGTTGATGTCAAGATGTGGAATACAGGTTCCATAATTATAAATATTCGAGATTTATGTGAGTGCCAAATGATTAAAATAGTGTGCCCATTGATATTGCTTACATATTTTAAGTGTTACTATTAGTGAAAGGCTTAGCAAAAGTGCGTAGTAAATGATGCTAGAATTGTTGCAAGATGAGTGTATTGTTACTCATTATAAGTTCTTTCCTTCTAAATTAATTGTTCTGTAACAGCTAAGCAGTCAAGGATTATTATAACTAGGCTGCTGTTATATAGGATTCACTGATTGACCACACAATCACAAGTTTGTCACACAGATCTGATTGGCTGCAATCAGCGTATGTATCCATTTTCTACATTTAATTTTTGGAATTTTCTTTCAGTAATTATGCATTTGCTTGAAAGAAACAGGTTATTTTCTTTTTTCCCTGGATTCAAATCTCAGCCCAGAGACCGATTATCCTGACTGATGTGTTTAATATTTTTCCTCAATACTTCCAGGCAAATGTCAGGTTATTACCTTAAATTAGGCCACAACCACTTCCTTCCATACCCTTTTAATTCATTAATCATCCTGTCATCAACACTGTATAATTTGACCTACTGACACCTTTGTTAGATTACAAATACCAATGCTGTTCTTGTGCTCTGGGCCTATAGAAGTTTTGCTAATAAATGTGAATGAGGATCATAGAAATGGAGTCTTGGATGTACTGAATCTAATTTTTCTGTATGGTTATTATTTGTATTACATAAAAAATGATTGGATAGTTTATGTATGCTTAACAGTTGTCAGTAATAAAATTACATGGCATAAATTTTCACTTCCAAGTTTTGATACTGTTAGGCAGATTTTAAAAGCATTTATAATGTGTGTTTGTGTTGAAAATATTAAAATAATAGGGATGCAAAAGGAATGTTGGAGAAAGGAGGAAATGAGATAAAAGTATGAAAGAGATAAAAAAAATTAAGAAAGGGGCTAAGGGGTAAAGGTATGAAAGAAATCACTTTCTGCTGAATTTGAATAGACCTTTTCCACCAGTAATATTAAGTTTTCTGAGGTTTTTTTAGTAATTTATTTGTGTTCAGCATATTATAATTACTAGATAGCTGATTTTTGTAGCTTTTATTGTCAATTCTACAACTGCATTTTGAAATGTTATTTCCTCATTCACATTTTGTGTTTGTGTGACAGATTATTGAGCAGTGACTCAGAACAAATTTTGCTTTATTATGATCAGTCAGTGAAGCCTTTATGACATCTGATTTGTGACCACTATTTAAGAAATGTCCACTTTTGTATTTACTGTTGAATTTCAGAAATAATGTGACCACAGCTTGAAAGTGTATTAATATTTTGTTGTGCACGTTTAACATGAAGATTTATTGAAGATTAAGTATTGTATAATATTTCTGAATGTCTGCAGTTTCATTAATTACCTCCTAGGGCTTTGCAAAATTGTATGTTTATCTTCCATTTGCAAATTCTTTACGAATTATGTAAGTAAAACTGGTATTATTTGAATATTGGTGCTTAAATAATAAAACTAGCCAATGTACAGGTTGTTTTAACTTGAGGAATTAGTGCTGCTGTATAGGTCATGCGAGTAGTGGTGGCACCTAAATACGCAATGTGTAAGCCGAGAGAGGGGAGTTAACTAGTAGTGGGGGTCGCACAGCCTCAGCTGCGGTGACGCACCGATCTAAACACAGCTAGTGCTACAAACCAACTGAAGCTGAAGCCCCTCTAGCGCGTGCTTTGGATGGGTCCATCTCATACTACCAAAATCAGTCCTTTGCGCAAGTGCCAGCACTTCTCGTGCGACCTTTAACATAAATGTTATCATCATGTGCAAAACCTTGATATAATGTTTTCCAACAGCTGGTTAAACTTAACAATTAACCATAACACTGTTATGAATGGTACAGTTTCATGGTGACCGAGTCAGATTCTCATAATTTTTTATTATATATTTTTTATTTATATATACATTATTTGTGGCGCTGCTTATTAATTGGGCAGGTAACATTTACTTAGCTGATCAAGATATTCCATGCTGTTGTTCAACACAAAAGTTCATGGTCATCATCAAAACAAATACTGCTTCAAACCAGTTTACAGATCCACATATACTCTTCTTGCATGAAGTTCTCCAACAAGCATATTAAACACATTTATTATTTTGCTTATAAACACTATGTGCCCATTCCTTCTCAACCTTCTTGAGTTAATCATCCTGACATTCCCACATGAATATTATTAGTTGTGAAGCTCCTTATTATGTCAATTTTGAGACAGTATAATAAAATAGCTTTTTTATGATGCGGTATTGTCAACCTTGTGCCCAAATCCACCATACTAAGGACAGCCCTGTTTTCCTTGTTATGTAAATTTTAAGGCAGTATAATAGAATTTGTATTAAAATATATTTTTTATAGTGTGGTGTCTTCAACTCTCCCACACAGAGGATATTCCTTTGCTAGGTGGCTGTTATATGTATAACTGCTCTGCATGTCTAGAGGCATTCTTCTTTGTCCACTATCCGATGACAAGTTACTCACTTAACATAGCATATTAAATAACCACAAATGGTTTAATACTAATTAATGTTAATATGCAGTAAAATTTGTTATGATCTGTTTCATAATGTCTTGGCATTAAAAAAGGCCTTTGTTGTGGTAGGACAATTTTCTTGTCCCAAACTGCTTAAAGTTATGTTTATTTTATTTTGCGTAGAGTTCCATTGTTGATTGACTGTGTAGCATGTATGAGATTAATCATTGTTAACCACAATTGCCATAAATGTTGGAGAACATTAAATGGAGGTTTTTATGTTAGCTCAGTATATAACATTTTTATGCTGTCACAGAATGGAAATATGTTCATGCTTTCATTCCAAGAATTCTTATAAAACTTTGGACATGCAATACATTTGCACCCCCAGATAGACTGTAGAAATTAATATTGTTTTGTACAGAGTTTATATAATTAAAATGTAGTTTTTTATTGAATGTTAATAGTGTAGTGCATATATTTTTGCTCGTATTTTTGTGTTGCCATTTTAAGCATCTGTTTATCTTGTAACTTTGCATGAAGTGCCCTTTTTTTTAAGGATATCCCTTTATTCTGTGTTAAGCCTAAAATATGTAGCTGTATTTATTAATGATTAATACTCAAAGGCTGATTTTAAAGTCAATGTTAACTAAGAAATGTGATTTATACTAGAAACCCCATTTTATATCAGCCATAAAATCCTTTAAAGTGTGAGTGGTATGTAAATATAATCACCTTTACCCTGCAGACCATTTCAGAATAATGCGATGATTTTTATAGATAACATTAAAATATAAGTGAAAAGTAATATTCAAATTGTTAGACTATGTAAACTTTTATGAGGAGAAATTGCACTGGGCCGATGTATTTCAGCTCTAAAACTTGTAAAACATAGAAATGTGTGATGATGTTGCTCTTCTGGGTTTTGATGCTGTGTGAACTTGTGGGTAGATGCCAACAATTCAGAGAAACATACTGTCCCTATCTTCAGGCCTTGCCTGTGAGTCACAACCTAGAAGACCAACATTTTCATCTTCACCACTGTGAGAACTTAAAATCTCACATAGAAATGATTGTAATGTGTAGCCTCTTTGTAATTTATTTTGTATAACTAATTCAATGTTGCAGGTAACACTCAGAGTCAGAATTCTACTTCATCCCTTTCAGGCTCAAAAAAAAGAAAGGAACTTAATTTTCTCATGTTCCCCAAGTTTTGTTGCATTCTTGTTCTGCACAGTTTTCCTTTCAAGACAGAAAGGGCCATGATCTAAATTAGGAGTAAATAATTAAAACTTTGGTATTTAATTCTGCTAGTTTCCTTAGTACATATAACTACACTGAAAGTATCAAATATGGTTTTCTTTGGTCATGTGCAAGTAAAGTAATTTCATAGTACAAATATCTTTACTTAACACTATTAAAATCCTTCTTATTTCAAGATATCTTATTGAAGTGCAGTCTGCGGTATAATTAATGTACATGGAATTTCAGAAGTTGGATCTAATAACTTCATCAGATTGACAGTTATTGTAGCGTTTTAACATGCACACTGACAGTTGGGAACTATCAATGTATGTTTACTTGTATTAAACACCTACTTTTGGAAATTTTTTATGTTTTGTAAGGTTTAGCAATTGTTCATGTAGTCTGTGCTGCAGTCGGTAGAAGTCTGTTACAGACTTGTTTGATAGGGAACATTTTAGGCTACTTGTAAAAAGATGAATTCTGTAAATTGTAAATGTTTGAATTGTTTATAGCTTTGGCTTTCAGGGATAAGCCATGTCAACTGTTGAAGTCTTTATTTTTCAGCACATATTGCAGTTGCTAACTTTAGATTGAACTTTGGGGTGGAGGGGGGTAGGAAACCCTTTGTTCAGCTGTGGAAGGTGTTTGATGTGATTGGGCAAGCAGAGGATCAGGTTTTATTCAATGGAGGTGAACTTCAAATTAAATTTGCTAAATTGTCTCTTGGATGCCTGGGTTACAGGGATAATTTGATGTGTTTTCAATCATGTAATTTTGATGAACATAAGTGGATACTAAATCCATGTAGTTTTAAGCTAGCATACAAGGTAAGTGGTCAGTCATCCTGGGATGGACCATCACTCTTGCTAAACAGTACTGTAGCACTCGGTCACCTGAAGAGTGGAGATCGAGCTTCCAAAGTGCCGCACAGCCTCAAACAATCTTGATTCATGAATGAATCCACCAGTGTTACACAAGGACCTTCTAATGCTTCACTGATGTAGTGATGAGGGTGTTTGGATTGAAGAGCAAAGATAAGAGATCTTTCTAATGATCATAATACCAACAAACAGTTGCATCAGAATGCGGTCTGAATAAAACACCTCATCCTTACAACATATCAAGCTTTTCAGTATCATATTTGGCTGTAGCTGAGTGCCTCAAATTTAGTACATCGTAACATTAAATTTTAGTTTACATGCTGGATTATTACTTCTCCTTTGCTGCCCCACCCCTTTATCTGTTTCAGTACACATTTCTTTGTATTGATAATATTTTAAAGAACCTAAAGCCAATTTACCTTAAGGTTTCTGCCTCATACAGTCCTTCCCTGTGTAATGCATAATAAAATGTAGTACATAGTGACTAAAAACTTATAACAAAACAGACTGAATATAAAGTAGTAAATTTATTTTTATTATTAATGTTTTAAAATTTTGGAAGATAGTCAGGGAATCCTCCGTTGAGTAATATAATTTGATTTTGATGTCATAAGCTGACACTTTGCAATTTTGACTCTTAGTTCTGATATTCTTCCAGTTTATTGGTGACAGTGCTGATAGTTTTCTCATGTCATCAGGGGAAAATAATGACATAATTTACCACAGACAGTTCTATTTCCTAATCTTGGAACATTTTTTCTTCTTCTCATATTGATTTTGAGTCTCACATTTATAGAAATCAGTTCCCAGGATCTTAATCTGTAACATTTTATCTGCATTTGTGGCTAGCCCATGGCAAAACCCCTGGATTGAGGGAAATATGGTGATTCATAGAGTGATTGGTAGTAATGGTAAATGCACAAAAATCATGCATGAGCATGCCTTGAGTCACACAGTTCTAGTGTTACTTGTAATATTTTACCTGTTGTAGTGTGGTACACATTGGCTACACTTCTTGAATCTATCTCTGCCTGTAACCTCTTCTTTATGCAGGTATCATAAACATTTATACTTTATATTGAGGATTATTGTCTTTATTTAATATCTGTGATTTATATGTTGTGAAACTGTAACAGGCCTAAACTTTTGTAAATATTTTAATGTTTCCCCTGTGGTAAGTAGGTAGTTTAAAATATTAGGTTGCTAGCAAATGGCTTTTACAGTTTACTGCCTCTAAAAGCAATTATTACTGTACTGATTGCAACTATCTGAGATGTGATTGTAGACATAGAAGATATTTCTGGAACATGAAAACTTTGTAATTTCAGTTACTGCTGGATTCAGAGGTTCAGAATTAATTTTCTGTCTTGAAAGTTTTTTGTTTGGAATAAGTACTCAGTACTACTAGTAGTTCATTCCATATTTTATTTTATTTTCAGTATGTGCATATGCACGTGTAATGATAAAAATGAATGAGTAGAGTTGTTTTGACTTTGGTGAAATACATGTTTTACACCTGCCAGTTCCTTCAAGATACCTTTTACTGATCTAGTGTTGGGGCATATTATTTTTGTTTCTTTCCAGACACTTATTTCAATTTGAATTATTTGTATTACTGGAGAAATTGTATTTCGATATAACAACAATAGGTATTTCTGTAATATGTAGTAGTAAAACATTTTTTTAAATTTAAGATTATTATGTTATAAGGATATTTTATTTGCTTGAATCAGTGGCACTCTTATTGGAATTTGTGATGTTTTTGTGTTACAAGTTTGCAAAATTAACTTCCTGGTATGGACTTCTGGCTTTCAATTTCCAGTAGAGGCCTAAGGTCTCTTCTCTACCATGTCCAGAATAACTCCTGGGCCCTCCCAGACATGTCTTTAATGGATACCAGCAGTTATTTCCTTGGTGTAAGAGCATAAGGTGATGATTTAGCTTCCTTTGTTATCAAGGTACAGAATATCCATCTTTGTGGCATAATTAATAGTAGCCATTGTTGGTTCTGTTTGACCTAAACGTATGATAAATTAACAGCTGATAGAACAAGATGTCATCTGCATAGATGCTATTAGGCAATGTGAACTGATCTGAAAATGGAGGACTGAAAAGTGTTCGGTAGTGGTCGGACTTCTAAATTACATTTCTAGCTGACCATTTAAAAGTCTGCACGTGTTTAATTTTTCTTTTCTTACAATATATGCATTATGTTCTATATACTACATAATTACAACAAATTACATCTTAGTCAATTTGCAGTTCTTTCATTGTGTTGCTTTTAATCTTGCTGCTACTGATATGAGGTGTGTTGTGTATGACTATAGCCTAGAATACAGTCTTGATAAAATCACAGTAGCAGGATATGTTCATGTCATAATAAAAAGGACCAAAAATGATACCTGATCAGAATAATGTTACAGAAATTTAGTAATTCATTAGATTCTTTATACGCTTAGAAAATCTAAAAACTTAAGTGTTTAATTCCTTCAATGACCAATTGAGACTACACAATAAAAATTCACTTTCTTTTCCCACCTCTCCATATTTAGTTGTATAATATATGTTTCAGCACATGTATAATTCTTAATATTTATATAATATACTTTATTCTTGCATTAATGGTAGTCTGGAACCAATGCATGGGCATAACTGTACCATGGTTATTTTCCTTTCTAAAGCTCTTTTATTTTGTTTAATTATTCCACATGCAAGCAAGTTACATATATATTTTGAATTTATATTGCTAAGTCTTTATATGTATCATGTATACAGTTGGGGAAGAAAATGCATCATTATGGTTAAATGACAATACACCAAACGGTGTTTCCTTTGAAAACAATTTCACCAATTGATGTGATTGAAACTAATAATTATTTTTAAACTGAAATGTTGAAATACTTATTAGTTTTATTATCTTCATGTAACTCATGGGATTATGTAAGTCATTTCTTTTATTAAAAATGGCACATTATATGTTACAGATTAATATTTTATTATAATTATATTAGTTTTTCACTCTCACCAGCATTGAACTTGTGATTGTTGCCTATTTGGGTCTGGGTCCATGATATGCCCTTTTAATAATGCCTACATGGCGTATAGTGGGACAAACTTTACTTTTTTACTTATGTAGAAATTAAAAACTGCTGAATTTTGAAGTCCATACACATTAGTTTGATCAGCCTATTTCTCCGGGGAATTTAAGAAGGCACCCTGAAAGAATATTGTGTTTAAATCCGTAGTAAATTTGTCTCACATTTCAAAATGTAGGTGTAAAATTATAATGTTTTTATATGCATTTAATTGTAACTGGACCCTGGTATATCCAGTCTCATGAAGTAAGTGCTGTTAATAATGTCTATTTATTTACTTCATTGTTTGAGAGAGTTCAGTATAGTTATCAGAAGTTAGTGCATCCACTTACTTTTGTAAGGTTATGGTATGTTTCAGATTTTAGCAAAATATTGGCAATGTACATACATGAATTTACAGAGACTGGAGGTTGAAAAGAGATAAACAAATTTTAATGGATTAATATATCCACACAAAGAATAAAATGAAATTGTATGAGAGATGTTATGTTATACGTATCTGACATTTCAAATATTGTACAAGTGTGAAAACTGTTATTCAAAAATAAAGTGAAATGTATTTAACTGAAGATATTGTGCATGTACTGGACAGCTGAATCCCAAGTACATTTCTACCTTAAACCCTTTTAAAATTTGTGGATGGGTACTGAAGTTATGCTGTCCTCATGCCATGTAATTGACTTGATGACAGCATTTTTGTTTGGTAAAACTAAATGTAAGAGAATATGTTTTATCTACGTTCTTTTATTTGATTAAAAGAGTAGATCTGTAATGAGCGAATGTAAATTTTGAAACATTACTGTATATTGCCAGGGAAACTTTGTAAGTCGTATTGGAGTTGTATTTTTATGTATTGATACTTATAATGTTGGTGCTTGTTAAAACTTTTCTTCCCAAATTTAGATTTCAGAACTTTGAAAATTTTTGAAAAAGGAAGAGACTGTAAAATGACCCCTTGTAATCATTACTGTGTAGTAATGTGACAGTGCTTAAAAAAGAAATATCCGCTAAATGTGTTGTCCTTATTCATTGTGATATTTAGAGTTAACTTCGGTAACATAAATGTATTAGCAGAGACCAATGCAGCAAGCTAACCTTGCATGATACAGGTGAACGCATGACATGAATTATAATGGCAACAGCTCCAACTATGTGGCACACATGAGATTTGAGGTTCAGACGGTGTTGCAGTTACCATGTTGATATTCTGGGTTGTTATGCTGTGTAGACCTCTAGGTAGATACAAACATTTGAGAGGAACATGCTGGCTCCATCTTCAGGACTCAGTATGTTCTCTCAAAATTTTTTTTATCTGTCTACAAGTTCACATGCCATAACAACCCTGAAGACCAGCATCAGCATATATGGCATGCATGTTCACAAGTTTCACATTTGCCTGTTTGTGTGTCCATTTGGTGATGCTGTACCAAGTGTAACAGTTAATAGCAAAAGTGAGAAATTTCCAGATACAGATAATTAAGAACAATGAGGTAATATGAGGATAAGACAAAGAGGGTAGTGAGTGATGTCCTTTCTTAGGTATTAGCTCAACTCAGTCATCCTCAGTTAGGACAGCCAGTCTTCCATTGGGATTCAAACCAGGAATGAGTGGTGAATCTTTTGGTCTGGTTAATAGTGAACTGCCAGACCACCAATACATAATGACTATCCAGTTCCATTGCATGAAAATAAGTGGAAGAAAACAATTCATGATTGTAGTAATTAACACCCTACACTAAGAAAGATTAAAAGTAGTCTTTTGTGATAATTGCAAGAATGATGATTCTATTTTCTTGGTGATGCAGGATTTCACTGCATTTTATTTCCAGCTGTTCTTTTGTCAGGCGATAAGTATCTAAAATGACTGTAAAGCGTAACTATTGGTATTTATACAGACACCAAGAGACAGACATGCTTTTAATTAGATATTAAGAATTATATTTTCTTGGACTTAGCATAATTGAAATACCATTATACTGATAATTTTTTATTACAATTACATGCAACTGCTCTGATTATGATACATACTAATATATTTAATCCTAAAATTTCTATGTTCACATGATTATACACCTGAAACATGTATTTACACAGTACAACAATCAAGCGTACTTCTCTATTTTGTGATATGAGCTAGACACTGAATTTACTGTATTGGCACACAAATGTACAAAGTTACATTATTTGTATCCATACAAATTCTTTATCAGGAACTCTAAAACCTGTACATTTATCTCTGTTCCGTAAAGACTGACAGCCATATTCAGAGTTGGGAACACACAAAATTCTATGCTCTTTACTAGTCTAATCTTTTGTCTTGTATCAGGTATAAGCATAATACAAAGTGGATGCTTACAAGACTAATGCAACGTTTGTATATTATAATTTAAATTTAATACAAATCTTTATATATATATATATATATAATTTAGGAGATCATATTTCATTTGGCAGATGATTGATTAAATATCTTACATTAGTGGATTACTTGTGGTGTTACAATTATATTATTTGTTGCTGTGGTAGACATACCCTTAGAACTCACACATGTATTAGTATATTATGTAATTGAGTGTTATAGTAAATGACTGTGTAAAATTCACTACTATCATCACAATTTAATATTTTTGACAACTTTTAAAAGTACTGCCCACTCCTTTTAACACCTGGGTACCGGCATCTTTCTAGAATGTCAGACATTCTGGTAAAAAAATTATTATTCTGCTTACTTTCCTTCAAATGTTTTACTATTCATGAAATTAGGAGGAACTTCAAATTAATAATTATACAATCTAGAATACATATCTTTTCATAGTTTTCACTATTACAGATTCCAGTTATATGAAATTTTGTCATATGTATCTACAAAGTTTTACACTGCCATCATGTTTGTAATTTTTAGCATATAAAACAGTGTTTCATATAGAATTTTTAGGAATATTTGATCTGTCTTTATTATTAATTCACATGGCCTCCAAGTTGATATTGTGATGGCATGAAATTCAAGATGTACAAAGATGGGGTTGCCTCAAGTCGCATGATATTTGTATGAAGTTTTATGAAGATCCATCACAAGTTATTACGGAGGAAGAATCACATGGTTGAACAGCTGTACACATGGACAGAGAGAAGTACACACGGACGGATGGGCATACATATGGACACATTAATACCACAAGCCTATATTTTCATATATATTATGAAAAATTTGCTGAAAATAGACTACAACTAATAAATTTGATTGATATACTAGAAGAAATCAAACTTAAGTTTTCATTGTGCAGGATATTGTTTGAATTCTTTACAGTTCATTTACAATATCAGATGTGAAACAAAATATGTAGGAATTTTAATGTGTAGAATAAATGCAGTTTCAAGTTTGCAGGTTACTACCGATCTTAAAAAGGAACATCAATTTTCCAGCTCATGATCACCAGACGTGGTTTTGAAGTCTAGATTGTCTGGATACAAAGCATTTAGTGACAATAAATACAAACTAAATTAATCTATGACTTGCCATGTCCACAAGTTTTTATCGAATATGAAGGATTTAGCCAAGCCACAAACTTTCCTTTATGTAAAGTTGGGAATTTTATCATTTCTGTTCTGAACCCTTTATTTATAATATGTGATAGGGACATTGCATGTCTATCCACAACATTTAGACTTCAAGTGATTTCCATGCCAGTCTGATATTCTGCCATTTTTGTGTCCTATTAGGTATCCTTTACCACTACAAATATGAACTTCCTTCTTAGTTAAATATTCCACACCCTGCATCTTGAAACTGCCTTTCAGTTACTTTGTAGATAAGATTTGTGTTGTATACTTTTATTTCTTTTTTTGGTCTAGGATTTGCAGTCTGCAATGATTTGACTGAAAATTAATTTTTTTTTAATATGGTGCTTAGAATTATTTTAGGCCTCTTAATACGTATTCAGCCATTAAAATCCACAAAGCAGTGAATTATGAAAATGAATACAATAAAATTATAAATTCGTTATTATTCAGTTTACGGGGAGTCCAAAATGGAATCATTTTATTTTTCATCCCAGAGTTTGCCAAAAGTGTAAAAGGATGAGAATTATAAGAATAGTTTATTTATTTACCTTAACTGAACAGTGTGTGAGTGGTTATGCAGTGACTGGTACCATATCACAGCAAGAACTGGCAAAAATCTTACTAGTAAGCTCTTAATGAGCTGTGAAGTGTGAAATACCATTTAAGATCTGTTTCATTAAATTTCAAATGTAGTGCCATCCAAGGTACTGACATAAATCACATGACAGTAAACATATAAATGTAAATCAAGGAAGTCCAAGCATGTAAAGTTTCATCAAAGCCTCTTTAGTAACTAAAGATTGCCACAGAGACAAAAGAGAAGCCTGCATACAAATGGAAAGCCTGTATGAAATAAATTATGAAAGAATGTGACTCAGACAGCAAATGAAGATGGCAAACTCAAGGAATGAAGCTAAGAGGAAGAATTAAATATGCAAGACATATGTGAAGTGATGCTTTGATGAAGTATCATTATCATTTTGACAATTGAGAGATATATCAGAACAATGTACAAAATATCTGAATATGGCTTTATAAACCATTACCTACTCACTGTAGTATTGAGACTAAACAGAGAACACTTATTTTTCACATTTGATTCGAGTTCATAAATACATACACAGAAAATGCTGAGGTTGCTTTTTATTAAAAATATTCTTACACGTAGATAACAGGTACATATCATCTATACCTCTTATTCAGACACCTGTAAATTGAACACACAGTTTTGTATTTTCTTTAATTTTAAACTAATTGGATTATAATAGACATATGTTTTAACATTGGCAAACAAATGCTCCTGCTATGATTTTTATGCATGTTTTAAAACAGTGATAATCCAATTTTTGATACTAACAGCATAATTTACTAATACCAGAATATTTCTATAGTCGGTCTGCCCTGCATTTCACTCCATTTGTATCCTTACATTAATATTATTGAATGATTATTGGACTGACATGTACTATTTGGCTTATACTAATATGAACATACTTTTTTTTCTTGTTCATTAAGTTAAGTGACAGTGAGCCTTTAATTCTAAAGATTATGTTTTCATAAGCTATCATTATATCAGAAACACTCTTTTCATACTGTATTTAAATGTGCGATATTATTTATTCTGTTTCACAAAAAAGAACTTGACAAAAGAATGCAAATATCAAGATGAATTTGATAATTCGTTTATAAGCCAGTATCTTCTTAATCAGTTGCTCATCACTTTTGTATTAGTTTGATTTTAAATTATCATACAATCTTTATGTCTTTAGTATCAGAGGTTTTTATGGCAGTGTGAGTTTAGACTGTGGTCTTCTGGGTGGTTGCATCATGTAGTCAGGAACATTTCCATGAAGATGGAAGCAGCATATTTCTCCAAAATATTGATACACAACCAGATTATATGGCACAACAACCCAGAAGACCACACCTAAAATCTTTATTTAAGTATTTAGAGATAAATTGTAGCTGCTATGAGAGAAACAAATGGAAGATGTTGAACCGAATTTCAGATTAGACTTAATTCTGCCAAACTTGAATAAGGGAATTGTTTCAAATTTTCCGGAAGGAAGTGGGATGAAGTTCTATTCCATTCCACCCAATTTCAAGCACTGGGTTAAACAATATAATGAAAAGAACATGTAATGATTGAATCATACAGCCAAGACATATTTTAAACTCTGTTACCATCAGTTGGTTCATCTTTGCAGTGAATATAATATTTATTCTGATAAGCACAATCCAGAGATTTAGTTTGTAGAGGGACTGCTTATTAGGTTGTCCAATATAGAGTTAAATTTTCTCTTGTTAGTTTTATGTTTTAGTACTAAAAATCAGGAACATGTTTTATCTCTATTTTAAAATTAATGTTTATTTGAAAGCTTCAATCTTTAGTTTCAAGGCAGATCATCTTTCACAATTTATCTTACATAAATCAAACCAAAAAACATTTCAGTAGAATAATCTGTTCAGAATTTGAGAATTGAATACAAATTTTAATTTTTTAATGTTTAAATTATTTGGTGGCTTTTATTTATCAAATAATTCCTTTTTTATAAGAAAATAATAGTTTTAAAATCATAAGTTATTTAATAAAGATGATGGTTATGATGATAAAAAAGATCAAATTTTCTCTCACAAACTTCCATTCGTTAAGTGCTCACGTTTGTACATTGATTGATATTTACACATAAAGCCAGTGCTTGCAGCGGAACCGGCTGACATTGTGTGTCTGCCGAATGCTCTCATGTTCTTCTAGAGGTGTGATGTTGATTGCAATTCTCTGAAATACAGAAAACAAGACTGTCTAATTTTGGCATGAAAATAATCCATAGTTTGTCCCATATAACATTTAGCTATAATCATTGAACAGTTTCACATGTCACTTTTTACTGACTTTAATGTTAACTTTACTTTAGTTTGTACTTGTGTGTGTGTATTTATTTGTTTATTTACATCTGTTACTTATACATTACCATGATGAACAGCATAGGAGACAAAAACTCCCCTGTCTAACTCCTCTGAACATTTGGACTTTCAGATTTTCTTCAATCTCTAACCCTGTGTTTGTCATAGATGTTCTTTATTCTCTTTGTTAGTTTTGGATACATTTTCCCTGTGTAACAATTTTCAAATTTTCTTTCTGTTTTTACTATCATACACCTTTTCAAGACCTACATAATCAAAACACGTATGTTTGACAAATTATGATTTTTTTCGCTAACATCTGTTTCACTGTAAAAACTTAAATACCTGATGACCTATTTCCACAATTTATTTTCCACCTGTCTTTACAGTAGCAAATTTATATGAAAAAATCTTACATTTTCCCCTATGATTTTCAATGTTTTTCCCCCCTTTTTCTGTGTCCAGTACACACCATTCAGCACGGTGTGCATTGGTGGTTAGCAGGATTCACGACCCATCAGTACATGGGTTCTATCGGGACCATGACATTTAACGCTCCTGCTGTGACCCCCTATTTTCAATGTTAACAAGTCAGGTATAAAAGAGGTAATGTGCAATACAGCCTGTTTATAACACTCGGAAAAATAGCTTGTGTTATATTATTTAGTGTTCTGTCTTACGACAGGTCCATTGCTCTGCCCAAAAAGAGCTCTCCAGTTTTCCCTATTCTCGGCTTCTCGTTTTAATTCCTGGAACGTCATCTTCTTTCCTTGTTTAAGATCGTTATGAGTTTATAATTCTCTAAATTATTCTATTTCTGAGGCATTCATAGGCAGTGATGAATATTAAAATGAGTAGCAAACTGAATAAAACAGAGGATCAGATCTCATGACTTATTCATAGTATTACCTTCACATTCACGAGAGTAGGAAAACCAGTAAGAGCTTAATCTCTGGGATTTTTTTAAAGTTCTTTAAATACAAGAAAGAGTAAATGTTTAATCAAAGCAGATACACACTGACCTCTTTCAGTGTGCCTGGTGTCTGTATGATGCTGATGATGGCAACAAGAGGAATCATGAGAATGGATGAGAGGGCCAGAGTCCAACCAATCCATTCAGCCCAGCTTGGGTAATTGTACTCATTGTACTTAAGGGGTTGCTGGTACAGTAGACCAAACATCACCACACCCTGAAAATATGAACATTTCTGATTTATAAACAGGCTGTTTTCTGCTAGAATAAAAAAGTTTGGAAGCGGAAATTATTTATTTTGTCAAGAATTATTTGGAACATTTGGACCCTCATGGGTCTTTGAAATCCAAAACAGAGAGGAATAGATTTTATCTCCTTGACCTTATGTTACAATAATCAATGAATATTTTGTTCAGTAAGAAAAATACGGAAAAATAAATTTTAAAACTATTAGGGCCATGTGATTAGAGTTGGAGGGAATGAGGTACCTCCACTGTAAAAGATGACAATTTTAATTTATTATGTTGATCTATTCTAATACTCACTATAATAAAAGCTGGACTAACAAACTTCCAGCAGATTCGCCAATATAGTCCTGGCTTTGTGCCCAACATGTCTTCAACATCTTGTGAAAATCGCTCCAGGCCTGTGTAAATGATGAAAAAAAAGCACATATCTTCCACTGTCAATTAAATAGCTTCTTCACTGTCTGTTTCTATACTAAAAGTTGTTTTATTTTAGTCTGTATAAATCCATTATAACTCTGGTTTAGTTGAAATTCAAATTAAACTTTTTCAAATTTGTGGTCTTTTGGGTGTAATGAAGTGGCTTATAAAAAAGCATTTGTGCATGACAAAATAGATAGTGTTATGATTTATATAACTTTCATATACATATTTTTTGATATGATGAATATTTAACAGATATAATGGAAAGTGATTGGTGATTGTTTGCAGTGTGATACCTGTATTGTTAATTATGTCAACAGGAGGTTTGTGTCTAAAATCAACATCAGAGACTGAGAAAAATGAACTGAAATAATACTACTAAAGAATAAAACACAATTAAGGCAGGTTAGTGCACTGGATGGCTTACCGTAAAACCACGATACTGCTATGGCTTCAAAAAGTGCAGAACAGAGAAGTGAGATGCCAGCTGAGTATGTGTCAAATAAATGGAACATGTAGATACCTCCCTGCAACGAGGATGATATTAGTAACTTGAAAATATACTTGGCACACAGAAACAGAACACAATGGGTGAGGATATTTCATTTGCTGATCACGATGCCAACAAGCTTGTTAAGTTATTCTTTTCTTATCTTTTATTTTTTACCATAAATGTTATAGTAAATTATGAAAACAGTTAAATGACTGGATTATTTTTATCATAGATTACTGAATTTACAAGGCTGTTATGGTTTTGTTTTAAATGAGTTATATTTTTATCCAGATTTATGGCTTAATTATTTAAAAGTGTATTTTATTCAAAGTTCAGTTCTTTTCTTGTTACTGTGTTCATAATCCATTGTGAAATTATTAAATTTTATGACTCATTTAGGTTTTAGCACAGAACCAAAAAAGTTCTTTAAGAACTAAAGAATTATACAAATCATATTTAAATATCCATCATAACAAAAGTACTCCAAATGTTACTTGTCGAATTTTAACCTTTTTAAAGACTGGCTTGTATAATGAAACAGTTGTACCTACTGGTGTGACATTGATTAGTGCAATGGAAAAGGAGACTACAGCAGCTGCTAGAGTGAATATTTCGCGGGCAAAACGACGGCCTTGAAAGAAGGAGTGGAATTCATCCATGAGACCAGTGATGACACATTCCATTCCTCCCATCTGAAAAGAGAATACAGGTTCTAGCATTAAAAGAAGAAATTATACAATAGAATTCAGTACTTCTGGATTTAAACCTTTCACTGTTGTGGATTAATGTGCAGTATTCATTAAATCTGATTCAATGTTAAATAATATTTGGAGTTCATTTTGGTTTACATTTAAAAAATATATAACCAAAACTTAAGTGTTATTACAAAGCTTAACAAATTAACTATACTAGGGACATGATTGTTGGTCCCACCATCAACAATTCTTTATTTTTCAACTGGTTTTTGTCAGGAAAGCACTTATTATTGCAGATACTTCAGGCAAGTTTGAGCCAATAAACCACTCCTCTAAATTTATCCCTGAGGGAAAACTGGCGAACTCTTTTTGGGCAGAACAATGGACCTGTCGTCAGACAGAACACTAAATAATAATAATAATAGAGTCTGAGTGTACTCACAGCACTGTCCAGCCCCAGCATGATAAGCATGAAGAAGAAGAGCATTGACCAGAAATTTGAGCCTGGCAGAGTGGCCACAGCTTCAGGGTACACCTGGAACACTAGGCCTGGGCCTGCACAAACCAAATGTTTACAACTAAGAAGCTTACCTGTATGAAAATAAACTACCTTCTTTAATGCATCTTTAGTGCCATACATTTAGACTATGTAATTAGCATTAATAAAGCTATGAGAAATGAAATAGGCTGGAAATGATGAATGTTACATGATAAGGAACTGTGGTAATTTTGCAAACTTAGCTCACCCAGTATAGTTAGGATACCTTGATTTTGAGGGCAGCTCATAAAGACATTTGGAAAAGACAAGAGATGAAAGCATAAGAGATAAAATTCATCTTAAATGCAAATAAGTTTTTGTTAGGAATTGTTATACATTCTCTGTACAAAGTGCATGAATTAAAGGCAATGTGGGAGACCATATCTATCCACTTGTCCCATGTTTCAGGTATGAACTACAAAAATGATTTCAATGACATTTTGCAGGAATGAGGACTGGGAGGTATATTGTTAAATGCAATTCTATTTTTAATCTATCAAATATTGTTTCAGAGGTGCTTGTTGCCTCCATCATCGTTGGCAGCTAGCACATTTTAAACATTGGTAAACTTATGCCAGACTGTTTGGTGCAACAACCCAGAAAAGTCATGTTCATACTCGCCACCGTGAGAACCTTCAATATCACAGAGTGCATTTTGTCGCCACCGTGAGAACCTTGAATATCACAAGAGTGCATTTTCTTATCCTTGTGCTATGTTGATTAGAATTAGGCTTAACAGGTGTCTAATAACTGAAATGAAACTCGAATTCATTGTCACGTTACAGGGTTAATTAGATTGCGTCTGTGTTTCGTTCATATTTCTTGTCATGGTAAAATGGTTGTAAATCTAACCTAAAGGGACAAATAATAATTCCCTCATTACCGTTGGCTTTTCTTATCATGTACCACAGATAAAGCAAATGGATATATCCGTGCTTTGTCACGGATTAAAGGGCTACTGATGATGCCGCCAATATAACGGAATATAATGTGTATATAATGTTTTATTATTAACTATATTTATCATATATTTCAGATTTTGGAAACTGTTGGTGTTATATCGTAATATCATAACGAGAATAACTGTTTTGAGTGGTAGGCTATTTGAGAATCCTCTGTTTTGTCCTCCACCTGTTCTGGTTATTTGTACTGCTGGCCATTCTGGTATCGATATGAAGGCGCGAAAAATAAATTTCACACCTCTTTCGTCAAGCACTTCGTTCAGAACAGTTAGAGCTCAACCATGTGCCGTTGGTGTGCGTACATTTTGGTTCTTATTCTTAGTGATAAATGTGAAAGTATTCAATCCTACATCCTCAATTACCAAGATTATCGAGCATAGGTATTTGATATTGATGGTAAGTAAGTAGAATATAATTTAGGATTTGAGGTTTTCACAGCTGTGGGTATGAAGATTGCTGTCTTCTGGGTTCTTATGTAGTAATTAGGGCGATGAAGGAGGTAGTATGACCTCTGAAACGTTGGTGGACATCTACTATACTACATGGCGTAACAACCCAGAAGATGGCAATCTTCAGAATAGAATTTATTTGCATTGCTGTACCAAGGACCCTATACCTAGATTAAAACAGTTCTTGTTGGTAGTACTTGAAATTTGTTTTGTCAGAAATTAATTTGAGATAATTTGCTAGCTAGCAAATACATCATTCATGAATATTTGGAAGCAGTCAGTTTCTGAATGTAAATAATAATATTAGTATCATCTGCGACAAGTATGGGTTTAGACTGAGAGTTAAAGTTAATATTATATCATTGATATATGTGAGGAAAAGCATAGTACCAAGTACTGAACCTTGAGGAACCATGTTTTATAATGCCCCAATTTGAATAGGTGCTATTATTTGAATCTGATGATTTTATTTATATCTGTTAACCTTCTGTCATGAAGGTAATTTTTAAACTATTGACCAGTTATATTTTTTAATTCTATAAAATAGTTTGTAGTTAGATCTGCATGATTTTTCAGAGGTTATAAAGCCCTAACGTTGTATAATTCTGGTACAAAGAAAAAGTTTACAGTAAGTGGGAAGTAATTACATACCTTCAGTTGCCACATTGCTGATGTGGATGCCCTGCTTATGAGACATGAACCCCAGGTATGTGAAAATGACAAAACCAGAGAAGAAGCTGGTGAAACAGTTGACAGCAGTAGTCACGAGGCAGTCCCTATTATAACATACCCAAAAAAGAGTAAGCTTATTCAGGCTTCTCAATTGCAGTGGTTTCCAAATTTTTACCAGTTCACAAACACTTTCCTTAAAATTCTGATCAAGAAATCCACAAATGAAGGAATAATTTTTCCCTTAAGTCACATTTCTACCCCAAGGTCAATTGTTGCGCTCTCCTTGATCTGTTACACAGCTTATTTCTGAGAAGCTGCCTACCATAATTTAACAATAACATTTTGGGGCTATAAAGGGGTTTACAAACTATGGTTTAGTAACCATTGTTGGGAGTTCTTGGAGTTAATCTTTTAATTCTTTAAACATTTATTGTTTTATTTCAGTTTTAATCTGGTTGAGAAGCACAAACACCTCAGCTTACTTCCAGGATGAAATATATTAATTTAACCTAAAAATTGTAATAAGTAAGGCTGATAATAATTTGGGATTAGAATGTGTGAAGCCATACCTCCACCCCCATATGTCATTTCATTAAGTACGAAGGGAAACTTCACCTTTTCATTTATCTTTGAAGGATCAGTACCAATTAGCTTTGAATGTCTCTGACTAATTTTTGGGAAGAATCCAGTTCAGATCCTCGCTGAGGATCAACTACCCTGGCTTTATTTCAATTTGTTTGTTTTGGAAAAATCAAATTTATTCAAAATATCACTGTTGCTTCCCCAAATATCTTTTTATATCTATTGCTCACATTCATCGTACAGTGAATTTCAGTCTGTCCTACATAACCTCAGCAGATGATACGATGCCTTTAAGTAACTGATTAAACCAAAAAAATATTTCTTAACTGAGACTACTTGAAAAGTAGGATATATTAACTGGTTTCATTAATATTCTGAAATGTCTGCCCTTCATACAACTTTTTTAAGACGATACAGAACAAAGTATTTAAGGTCAAAGTCTACAGGAAAGCATATCAGCTCAGTACAGTTCCTGTTGACTGTTTTATGTCACCAGGAGATTGGATTGGTTCGATTCTAATCAGATATGGGGCGTGTGAACTACAGTATTTCTGCCATTTGTTTAAATTGATACTAGGATAGGATTTTCCCTTTGTTACAACATTTAGAGCTCCTCTGGGTTCTCGCCAGCCTCACATTCACTGGTTACGTCTTCGTGAGTAAAGTTGCCGGGGCGTGAAGCTGACCATTCACCTCCTCCTAGTTCCGAAATTAAGAATGGGTGGACATATATACCTGCATTCCCCTATACGTCTACATGGCTTAATTTTTAGTTAAATGCCAGGGGGAAATTTAACTTTGTGCGATTTGAATAACATTTTTATATTTCAACGAATACGTACAGTAGACTCACGATTATCCGGGTTGGTTGGGAAATATATTTTCCCGGATAATCTGCAAAAAATTAAAGAAATACACGCACGTGTAACAAATACGTAAGTTTATTTACAGGCATGCACTAATTAAAAATTTATAACTTGTGTTGGGCAAGGCCGTGGTCTAGGCAACACGGAGTTTTCCTCCGGGGGCTTCCCCGGTTTCTACGTGGCATCCCAACAATTACTCCATTCACACACAGAAGAAGGCAATGGCAAACCACTTCTGGATCATCTGCCAAGAACGTATATGAACAGGTCCCAGTCCGAGAAAAGGATGGAAGGATCCTGTTCATATGGACCTGTCGTCAGACAGAACACTACAAATAATAAATAAACATACCAGCTATTTTTTTAAAAAAATAATAATTCGAGTTGATGTAACGTTCTACTGTTGAAAAGTTCAGGTTTTAGCAACAATCGATTTATGCCACTCTTGTATTAATTTCGTTCTTTTTAAACATTTACAACAGGTTTCCTAGATTTTTTTAAAAAAATTCGTTTAAACAAGATTGACCACGGTCAATCCGTCCCCGGATAATCGAGAGTCTACTGTGTAGTCAATAGATTAATCTCATCTTTGTTAAAGTTTACTTTGAGACAAGAAGTTAATATTTACAGCCTATCTTACGTTTCTAGACTTACCGGAGACAGTTATTATGGAACGTATTATAACTGGCGTAGGACAAATGAACCCCGAATCCCGCACCTACCGAATAAAAAATCTGGACCGCAGCATCCACCCACACCTGAAAAATAGAAATTCGTAACTTAACTAGAAATAACACAGACATTAGAAATAAGGTAGGCGGGCGTGTAATATAACACAGTACAGTCAGTTCTGTTATAACGCGTGGTTTCGTTATGTGATTTAGCTATAACGCAATGGAATTTATGGTTTTTTTTACAGCAGCATTATTTTTGCATGTCGAACTGAAAGTACAACATTTATAAATTTCCTTTGTAAAGTGAATTAAATGTTGGAACAGTCTCTTAAAATACGTCAGTCGCAATGGTGGAGCGTGACTTTTCAAAAGTGTTTGTCAAATCCCAAGGCGATCAGGGGGGTCATGCTGAGAGTGAAGGCTCGGCTCCAGGTCATTTGTGTTTCTTTCCTTGTTTGGTTCTCAAGGTTATGTTTGATTGAAGGCGCTCAAGATGGTGATCCAGTCTTGATGAACATACGCCGAAGGATCTTCGGCCCGGGGGAGGGGGGAGGGTGTTGAGGCGGAGGAATGTTCGACGTTCTCTTTTCTCTTTATTGGTCGTCGCCTCGCATGATTCTCTTGTTTCGCTCCTACTTTATTGCGTTGCGTTTCTTCGTCACGAAGTTGGTGTCATGTCAGGAACTGTGATTGGAATTCCTTATGTGTTGTGAGAAATCGACCGCAGAACCAGAGTGAAGTCAGTTGCCTTGTTTTCTTTTGCACAGCTGCCCTCACTAAAACGAGTTTGGGCACTAAATATAAGACTTATTTAATCAAGACTTTGTAATAGGATACGTGCAGATTTGAGAGTAAATATTACCAGCCTCAGTTTCAGGAGTCGAATACAGTCCAATTTTATAGACGTGGCCGCTGAACAGCTCGTGAGGGGAAGTCTGGGAAGGAGTGGTGGGTCAGTGGCTAAAATTCCCAGTTAAACTTTGGACTAAAATTCCCAGTTAAACTTTGGACTAAAATTCCCAGTTAAACTTTGGACTAAAATTCCCAGTTAAACTTTGGACTAAAATTCCCAGTTAAACTTTGGACTAAAATTCCCAGTTAAACTTTGGACTAAAATTCCCAGAATTCCCAGTTAAACTTTGGACTAAAATTCCCAGTTAAACTTTGCTAAATATATCAACAAATTGACTGAATTAAGCAATTTACAATACATAAAGTAATGTTAGGCTTTATGGCATTATAACAGAACACAAGCTTTAAACATGCGATTACTGAAATCAGTAGCTCAGATTATATGGCGGCTAATGAACAGTGAATTGGAAAGGATGTTGAAAGAAACGATCGTGGCACAATTTAGGCACGGTTCACATTACGCGGTTTGCCCCGCGCGGTTGTTTTGCTGAGGAAGACAACGAAAAAATATCAGCGAAGACAGTCGAGATTTTATGTCGGCATATCCCGAACACAGAAGAGGAATGGTAACCATCCGGCCGTGACATTAGATTTCTTGTTTCATTTTGTGGTTCTATAACAGACTATTGCGTCTGGTATCAGCGTCATTTATTTCTTCGTATTATTTTATTCTTGTCTTATTTAGATTTTTTGATATTTGCCGTGAAGTTTGGTTGTTCTTCCTAAGCTTGTTTCATCTATTTTGGCTTTTAAAATTCCTGCCTCGTTCTTTACGCTCGCTAAGAGCGACATGTTTCGCTTACGGCATTTCCTTTCAAGACTTTTACTGAGATCGCAGCGGTGTAGTATTGCAACTGAACGATCCACTCGTGCTTCATAACGTTTTTCGAGCTCTCTTTTGTCGTCATATCTCTCGCACTTCACTGAGTGAATTCCCTCGAGTGGGTATTTCAACCCCTACAACTGTAAGATTTGCCAAATACCTTCCTTCTGTTCGTATCAGCCGCCCCCATTCTCAGGGTTTGATGGACCAAAGAATTGATGGAACTCAACTTCCTACTACCAAGGACGTTACTATTTGTTGTGCGTGTTGCTTGCGATGCAGGCGTTCAAAAATAATCTTTGTGGTTCGGTTTGGACTACCACGCTTGTTGGTTATGCGGGTATTTTACAACGCTATATTAACTTCAAATGTGATATGCTCAGATGATTGTGAATGATGGTTAAGAAAGTTTTCTTCGGACGGAAACCACGATTTTTTTTTCAGGATAGCCGATTTCTTGCCGATATTCGTAGGTCATCCCTTAGAAACATTAGAGGTTTTAACCAAGATATTAATTTAAATTAAAATTTTAGTGTTAACTGGGAAAAGAGGTGGATGTAGAGAATTGGCTTTAAGCTACATATTTAAGAATTTACAAGAGAAATTAAGGCTGTTCAGGACTTGGTACAGTGACTGGCTTTTATGTTAAATAGCATACTGAATCCCAATCATGAACATGCAATTACCTGAGTATCGGCCAGTCGCCCGAGCTCGGGTTTTAGGTAGTAGACTATACCCCCGATTGCTCCTGGCAGCATGAGGCCTCTGATGAGGAGGATGGTCAGGACGACGTATGGCAGCGTCGCCGTCGCCCACACTACCTTACCTAAGAGAGAAACTGGTTCTTAGTACACGTTGATCGTGGTCTGTTGGATTGTGACGC